TTGCTGTTACGAAGTTTCATTTTTTAGTTTCATTTTTCATTTCTATTTTCTTATACAAAATCAAAGATAACGATGAAATAGTGTTTATAATTGTGTGAGTACTGAATACCCAATCAGGTACGTTTATTAATTTCAATAATTTTTTGTAATAAAGAATTGTTTGTTGCGTCAGATTACAATTGATTGTGTAATTGTATTAAAAATGACAACCATAAATTTTAAATTCCATACGAAGACTAGTCGTAGGGATAAAATTTATAAATTAAATAAACGTTGGCGATGTCTTAACATACATAACGCTTTAACGGTGTGTGGAAGGTTCTAGTGCTTCAAGGACTTTACACTGTGCGCATTTGTTTTAGCGTGTTTGATTAATAATTTTAGTTTTCGAGACAGTTCCGTGTTGACTATCACAAGAGACAGTTCAATTGTTTTGTTTATTAAATTATTGCCGTTATTACTTGTTATTTATTACTTAATGATATTATTCTTGTAGTTACGTTTTAAGTTTCTTATTTTGTTTTTATAATGCCTAACGCGTACGTTTATAGTGCTCGTGAATACGGCAACATGTTAATGTACCTTGGAGAAGCTCGCGGGAATGCTTCGCATGCATTGCGAATTTACCGAAAGAAATTCCCGACCGCTCGACATCCAGCTGACTCGCGTCTGATAACAGCAGCATTTCAGCGAGTGTTGGAAAATCGGCCCATTGCTCTGGTAGTGGCAGGAGGTGAAAGTCAAGTGGCTGTTCACTCAGAGGAGCGCATTTTAGATGTCTTTCGCCGGAATCCGAACCTAGGTACACGAAGTATCGCTAAATTGTTAAGGCGTCGGGATGGAACAAGTGTGTCATACTGTACAGTTCACGAAGTGTTAAAACGTAACCGAATGCGCCCATATAAAGTGTACAAAGTGCAAGCTTTAGTTCCCGGCGATCACGACCGCCGGCAGGTTTTCTGCCGTTGGTTATTAGACCAGCAACAACGTGTGCCTGGTTTCATTAAGCACGTCACCACGGAGGATTTAGAGCGGTAAGCTGTTTCATACCTAATTGTTTTTAAGTAACTTAGTACTGAACTGATCTGAGTAGGTACATAACGGAATACATCGAATAATAAACATACCTACACGATGAATAAAAACGCATGACTCTGACCTTGGTGAGGTACATTTCATTTAAGTATCTTTTTCATTAGCGAGGAATCGAACCAGTTATTTGAGTTATTTAACCTGTGAATTCGAATTAAAGTGACTACGTGGAGACAAGCACAGTGGCAAAATAGTAGGTTAAGTAGATAAGTTAGGTATCTAAACAAGTGTTGTAAATGATTAGATATTCTGGTATGGCTCACTAGCTGCAGGCCGCGCGAATTCGGCGTTCGAGCGTATATTGACCTCTAGTCAGCTGATTGTACTTCAGTAATTCCACTGCTGGTTTTACGTTTAAGTATTTTCATGATTTTTTTATGAAATTATCATTTCTTTTAGCTGTACTTACATGATAGAGAATGAATAAAGCTAATAAAACGTTGTGAAAAGATGATTTTTTTTTCATCAGGATCGATTTTATATCTCACCTATCATCAAAGGTATAGTTGGTACTGTCGTCTGTCTTCGCTTTCGGGAGCGTATCAAAAGTACCCTGTATTTTTTAGGTCTATGCAAACTGTACAAACACTTCAGCACTTCGATATACAGACAGTCAACTTGGCACCACTAAAGGGACCGCAGCACCGTCCAAATTTTGACGGAATCAAAGGCTTTCTCATAGTCCACATACGCCAGACATAGTGGCAAATTGTACTTCTCGGACTTCTGTACACTTTGCCGAAGGGTATGTATGTGGTCTATGGTGCTAAAGTATTGTCGTAAACTGGCTTGTTCGGGAGTCTGGAAGTCATTGAGTCTCGTCTAGGCCCTTGCTGTTTTTAAGGTGCTGGAGAGCCATTCTAATAAGACTTGCTCTTGAATCGTTACTCACACTTGCGTGTGGCTCCAACGAGGATTTGTACAGCTGCTCACAGAACCTCTCAATCTCACTTAAAATCTCAGGTGTCCCAGAAACGACGCTACGACACTCGGTCTTCAGCTTCGACAGTTGGCTCTTTCCGGCATACAGATCTCTAGCAAAGGCTTTGGATCCCTGGTCGCGCTCGATTGCTTCTTCGATACGAGCTGTATTGAAGTTGCGTAAGTCCCGCCGCATGCATTTGGAGATCTGTCTGTTCAGTTGCATGTACGCTTTCGAATCTACTGAAGACTGCAGCTTCATTTTCCGTCTAACAGCCATGAGATTAAGAATGTGATTGGAGAGTTCTTGTGTTCTTCTGCGGCGGGTCTAGCAAAAGTTAGCTCCGACCGTATGGACAGTTTTCACGAGCTTGTCATTCAAATCATCCTGAAAACGGTTTTGTAGCTCGAGCTGAAAGTTTTCAGGACTCTGGATTAGAGCACGAAGGGGACGGAGCATTGACTTCATTAGACGAGACCTCTCCAACTTAATGTTTAGATTCAGTGTGCCTCTCACCATTCGGTGAACGCTGCCAGTTTTCACCCTCGCGATCACTGAGACATCACCGAACAGAAGTCAAGCTCATTTTTTGGCAAACGGTTGGGGCTCGACCAGATCCACTTCCTGTGGAATCGCTTCTGGAAGAAAGAGTTCATCATAAAGAATCCCTCTTTCTCCATGAAGTTGGCCAGCTACTGGCACCTTGAGTTCCGTTGCCCTATTCCGAATTTCACTCACCGTTTTCTTGTGCCTAGTTTTGCGTTGAAGTCTCCCATTAACACTGTATAGCGGGTTTTGGAGGAACCTATGGCTCTAGATATATCCTCATGCATTTCTTCCAACTCCTCATCGGGATGTGCCGCGGTTGGTGCGTAAACCTGTATGACCTTCAGCGAATACCCTTTGGTGATTCTGAGTATAAGGTACGCAACCCTCGTTAACACATTTTCAATCTTTACAACGTTGTTAATGAGAGACTTGTGGACGATAAATCGGATACCTCCTTGGGACAGATGGTCGCCCTCCTCGTGATAGAGCAAGTTGCCTGATTCGAGGATTACCGTTTCCTGCCCCTCTCTTGGGACCTCAAATAATCCTATAATACTCCAGCACAATTTGTCTATCTCTTTTTCTAGCTCCAGGATCTTCTCTTCAGTCCTCAGGGTGAGTGCGTTATATGTTGTCAGGTCGAGTGTTCTTAGGTGGCCACCGAACCTCCATCGGAGATTCTTAACACCCCCTGCCCCGCCGTTGCTATGGTCACCACCCTCGCTAGGAATAGCAGGGCCTCCAGGCACTGTGGGCCATCTTTTAGTTACTTTATTCACATGGGGAGTATATTGCTATAATTGCCACGCTTGGTGAGCGGGTTGGCAACTGCAGTTTTTTATTGTTGTTTTGCTGTTATCAAAAAGATGCTGCTGCCCATCTTCTGCCTCAGTTTCCCTCTGTCGCTTCTTATGACACCTACGGGAATATATGGAGTAGTGGGTATTCTTACCACTACATGGGAATGGCTATCCGAGTACAGAACCAGAGTACGAAACATATCCAACTGAAGAGAGGTGTAAGACAGGGTGACGTTATATCCCCGAAACTCTTCACCGCTCCATTGGAAGACGTTTTCTGGCTACTAAACTGGAATACCGTATGTATCAACATCAACGGCGAGTACATCACTCACCTTCGATTTGTCGACGATATACTCTTTATGACAGATCACTGGAGGACCTAAGCACTATGCTCAATGACCTGAATATTGCCTTCCAATGGATAAGTCTTAAGATGTACATGGACAAAACTAAGATCATGTATAACGTCCATGTTTCCCCTAATCCTGTAGTTGTTGGGAGCACTAAGCTCAAAGTTGTTGACGAGTAGTCCTGCTATCAGTAGAATTTATTATCTTATATCACTAGGTAATAACCCACTTCGATGTCAATGTTTCATCACATACTCTGCTAAAGATGTCAAAGTAGCAGCAGTTTACGGTATTTAAAAATAATAATTTCTCAAATTCTTTTTCGTATATCGACAGCACTAAATGAGCACTAATTTATTATCTTATATCATTAGGTGATAGCCCTCTTAAATGTCATTTTTTTCATTACATACTCTGCTAAAGATGTCAAAGTAGCAGAGTTGATGATATTAAAAAATATATATTTTCCCAATTTTAGTTTTCGCGTATATTGGCAGCACTAAATTAGCACTAAATTATTGATGGTTCTATTTGGTGCTGTAGCTGTAGCGGTTATCGTTTTAATAGGTAGGAAACTGCTAGCTTAATTAAAAGCTAGCAGTTTTCTAATTTTTGATAGCACTAAATTAGCACTAAATATTTAGCAAAAACTTTAGTGATCTTGCCCAAATGACCATTCCAGCCTAATATACCTCATCCAAATAGCAAGTTTAAAAAACAAAGCATCCAAGCCAAAAATCTTAATTAAAGATAATATTATTATTTTGACCCGGTCAGGGTTTATGTTTTCTTATTCTGTCTTCGCTAGGAGTAAAAGTATTATGTGGTAGAGTAGTATGTTCCTTGGTTTTGGAGTTTTGGCGAAACTTGACCGGCGGTGGTTTGCTGCTCCTGTATTATTGTTTAAATAATGGCTTGAAGTAGATTTCGATATGTAAAAGTGGTGTGATTTTGTGTAATAAGTGTCTGCGCATGTAAACTATTAGTGGAAACGGTGAAACAAGTGATCTGATAGTGATGTGATTCTCAAGATAAGGTGTCTGTCTGCTTAGGTCTTTTGAGATAACATCGCCAACTGTCTGCTGTCTGCTGGCTCAAGGTGCCATCAAAATCTCCCAAGGGCTGCACAACGTCACGTATCAACATATTGTGAAGCAGTGTACTATGAAGGAAACAACTCAGGCTCATAAAAGCTGGAATCCAGAGCCGTAAAGCGAGTTATAAAAAAATTCCTTGGTTTTGAGTTTTGACATTGACAATTGACATATGACTTATTTGAAAATCAAATCGGAAAATAACAGCTGAGTTTGAGGCTTGAGATGCAATTCGCAATTCCAGTATCTGTAATGCATTCTGCAAAAACTTCCATTCATCCTAAAGTATAACATAAATAAACTGAGGACCACCTTCATGATTCAGTTCAAAACAGGTTTCAGTAAACCGTTGTAATATGTCGCAACAATTGATAAACGAACAAAGCAAATATATCTTAGAGTACGTTGCCATTGAGTTGAACCTATTATTACCTTGAGGATTAGCATCCTTATTGATAATGACTTTCATTTTTGTTTACAGCTTATTTTCTGAACAGACTATTGATTCACAAACTTTAGATTCGCTTTCAGCACAAGTGCAGAAAAGGTTTCCTAAATCTGAACATTTCAACTGTTAGTATAATATGATCTTTATTTTCTTTCTTTCAAAACATTTTTATATTTTGAAACAATAAAAAAATCAAATTGATACTAAATGACTTAATATATTTACAAAAATGTGAACAATACAAGAAATTACACTGTATTAAATCTAGTAACTATATCATATATATATACATATATTTTTATAGGATAAGGTGACAAATGAGCACACAGTCCACCTTATGGTAAGTGGTTGCTGTGGCCCATAGACATCCACATTTATCCTCGTTTGTGAATCAAAATGCAGATGCGTTTTCACCCATGAGGACTAAGATGGAATGCCTCTTTTCCAGTAAAAAGGGTCTCCGGTTCTCTACACTCACCATACGAAACACAACAGTGTTAAGCTGCTATTTTACACTGGTATACAGTGGTGGTCACATAATTAAAGACACTAGAGTGATATTAAAACAACATAGTTTATCTACTCTTTACTTGCTTGTTAAAATTTAATATGAGCTAGAAACTATTAAAATCATTCGGACATTCATTGTGAAATGTTAGAATTAAACTAAGCCTCATGTGTCCCGAATATTTACTCAGTTTAACTACATTTAGACCACCATGACCTAAGCAAATACTTGGCCACCTAATTAAAGATGCACAAACTAATTAATTATAAAAAAACATATTGTAAATATTGAAATCAACTTTGTTTTGATAAATTTAAGACATATTATAAAAACAAAAAACAATGTTATTAATATTTTGTTGCGTGTCCTTTAGCAGCAATAACAGCCCGACATCGCCTTTGCATTGATGCAATCAATTTATTGCAAGTTTAAATTGAAATTTGTTCCCATGCTTCTTTAAAAGCCGCATAAAGTTGGTGTATGTTAGTGGTACGTTTTGATGCCACTATTTTCTTGACTCGGTACCACACGTTTTCAATGGGGTTGATGTCAAGGCTGTACGGTGGCCAATCTAACACAGTTACTAACTGGCTCCTTAGGAATTTTTTGACAACTTTTGCTGTATGTTTCGGGTCATTGTCGTGTTGGAAAGTCCAAACCACCGGCAAACTTTCCTCAGCATACGGTATCATGACTTCCCCTAAACTATTCTTGTACTGGAATTTATTCATGTTCCCTTCTATTTTCTTGATAGGTCCTATATACCATGACCAGAAAAACAACACCAAACTTTAATGTTTCCGCCTCCATGTTCTACGGTTTTCTTTGTGTACTTCGGATCCATTTCTTTTTTAGGGGGACGTTTCACATACATTTTTCCATCAGAAGTAATCATATTAATTTTCGTTTCATCAGAAAAAAGTACATTTTTCCACTCACGTTCTGTCTAGTATTCATGTTTTTTGGCAAACACTAATCTAGCTTGGATATTTTCCTTCTTTAATAGTGGTACATTACGAGATATTCTTCAGAATAAGTTTGCTTCACACAATCGCCTTCTTATCGTTCTTGCAGACACTCCTCTCAATCTTGCCTCACCAAATATTTCTGAGCAAATCAGTTCTGATCGTTTAAGCGGTTCCCTTTTTGCCAACAACACTATTCTTGAGTCTTCTCGTGGGGTTATTTTTTTTAGTTCTAGTCTTCCTGGGCACATTTTCAGTAGTATTAAAGTTCTTAAAATACCGGATAACATTCATAACTATATCTTTAGACCATCCTAACTGATCTGCAATATTCCTATATGACCAACCTTTGCCATAAAACTTGAGGATCATTTTCCTTGTAGAAGGATCGCAACTTTTGTTTTTTTCCCATAATAACACAAATAAAATTTAATAATTTCTATTAAGTACAGAGCTAGTTTTTATTTTTTATTCTATGTACCGTGAAAATTCGCGCCTAATGAAAAATAACATAATTGTTTTAACATTATATTTTAAATTTAGAAGACGAAAAACACACTGTCTTTAATTAGCTGGCCAGCGGTTAACTTGTCAAAACAGTTTTTATTTTGTTTAAAAAAGGAATACAATTTGAACTATTGCTAAATACACGTTTTTGATGTTTCCATTTTAATAATATGATCTCCGTGTAAAGATTAATAACTATGAAATATAATTAATACCTACTTTGGGTACTCTACACGTCTGTAATACTGTTGTATGTGGTCACACAGAAGAGTGTTTTTAATTATGTGACTGCCACTGTATATATAGCGGTTCTATGGTGAACACATAACTGACGTGAAGCACCAACATTCCGGGAAGTCTGCAGTTTGTGATCATAGCCTAATGGGCCCCAGCCATTACGTTAGATTTGATGAACTACAAATTCTCGCGAAAGAACATCGATCCCTGCCAAGGATGGTATGTGAAACTATTGAAATTAAAAAACATCCTAATTTCAATAGAGAGGGAGGCTGGGTACTACTACCTGCTTGGGATCCTGTAATTAATAAAATTAAAACTAAACCCAAGCATACAACTGCAAGACTTTAAGACACCATAAGTTCATTCTGCATAGATCGGACCAAAATTAATAATTGAAAAAGCTGAAGGTACTCGGGTTAACTCTGACATCGGGACGTCAAACGTCGGAAATTAATATAAATAAGAAAAATAAGTTAATTAAAAGCGAAAAGTCCGTACTATATAGTGCTAAAATGCTTCGTTTGCCTTTGCCGTTTACCTGTGGCTGACAAACAAATGATGGCTATAGCAAATCTCTCAGAGAATCATATTTATGCCATGTAATCAGTTCAACTGCCTCTGATACCACCCCAAGTCTAAAGAAGGTAGTTTTTTTTATTTATTATGATATTATAAATTATTTTAGTATTCACCTCGACTCCATAACTTTTGTAGCTAAATTCGAAGAAGCAAACAGAAACGAACCAAAACGACATAGCTTGCAAGGCAATAACGGGAAAAAGTACTTTAATTAGTTTTTACTTAAGGTTGATTTCACACTAAACGTTATTTAACCCTATGTCTTTTCATTTCCAAGTGACAGGAGTAATGCATTGAATTTTTCTTTTTTGTAACTAATGATCATAACATTTGTGACTTTATTACTAGATGCCATGGTTGTAATTGGATTGAACATAAAGCTGTTATACTTTTTTGTCTCAGTTCTTTAGTAAACAAATGTAGCTGTATAAGTATATATTCACGCGGACAGCATTTAGCTATGATTTTGTACGTAACCCGTTATCTAGTTGGTATTGTTGATCGAAGGTTCTACCACATATAAATTACGTATAAATAATTAGCATATTTGTATAAATTTTGTGTTTTTGTTTTCAAGTATGCCTCCTCCTCTCATCCCTTATCACTGGTGGAGACTTGTCACTGCCTGGACAACGTGTGGTCGCCTTAGCTATTCTCTTTGATACATACAAGCAGGACAACCCATTCAGTTCGTTGTTCTTGCACCTTTTAGAAGGCAAGCCAGGACTATTGCCTTTAGCACCGCAAGAAAGACTTTTCATTGGACAGCTTTATGGTTTTCTACCAGTAAATAATAAAGATGTAAGTATCAAACTAAATATACTTATTTAGTAATTTTAATACAGATCATGTCTTTAGACTATTCAGGTATTTTGTATAGCTGTGACAAAATGTACACAGCCTATAACTCAATATTAACAAAGAATTAATATAGTTCATTTCGTATCTCAATTTTTGTTATTTTCCATCTCTTACGAATTTTACGGGATGATATGCGGTAGTGGATTCTCTTACACCAACACTAAACGGCTTTTCCCCCTATAAGGAAATACATACTCTGTAACAATAAATATGGCATTCCACAGGGAAGTGTTCTCGGTCCAATCCTATTTCTGTTGTACATAAATGACGTTGTCAATATGACGAAGCATAAGTGTATTCTATTTGCTAATGATATCTCAATTATTGTGACTTCCTATAAAAATATTAATAATACGAGTGATCATGACGTTGACATAAATAATACAATTTATAATTTAATTCATTAGGTTGACATACATAATTTAAAAATTAATTTAGACAAATTTTTAAAGACAAAAAAGTTATTTTTCAAAGAGTAGCCAAATTTTAAACTTAAATTTATATATATAAATATATAAATAATGATTTACCATATTGCAGTTTTCGAAAATACAAATAAATAAAACTACTACTTTCATTTGAAATTATCCCTAATTGTATGTGATTTATGGCCAACAACGTTTTTGCCTATCGATCGACTCTTACGAATGTGTGCGTGCGTAGTAAAATCAGTCGAAATAATGCATTACCATTGATTTTGAATTTAAAAGGAAAAAAGAACAGAATGTTAGAAATTTTTTTGATTAATTTTTCTTCACCATTCGCCTATATTACTTATTCTCATCCTTCTCTGCAAATTTGGCCGGTTATTGCAAAATAACCCTTTATATACAATTCTAAATTAATAACGATAATAAATGCACTAATAATAAACATAGTCTAAACTTAGCACACCAAAAATAAAAGCAGCTAGACATACGAAATTTTTAGGTTTAATTATAGATGACGATATAAATTGGAAAACTCACGTAAACGATGTTTCTATCAAAATAAATAAATTCGTGTATCATCATCATCATCATCATTATCATTACAGCCCTTCACTAGTCCACAGCTGAACATAGGCCTCCCCCATGGAATGCCACAAAGCACAGTCCTGAGCCACCTGCATCCATCGACTTCCTGCATGTCTTACCAGGTCGTCACTCCATCTAGTGGGAGACGTCCTACACTTCGTCCGCCGGTACGACGCCGCCACTCGAGAACCTTTTTTCCCCATCGGTTGTCGGTTCTTCGAGTTATATAGCCGCCCCATTGCCACTTCAGCTTACTAATCCTTTGGGCTATGTCGGTCACTCTGGTTCTACTGCGGATATCCTCATTTCTAAGTTTATCACGCAGACACTCCGAGTATAGCCCTCTCCATAGCTCGCTGAGTGACCTTGAGCTTCCTCATCCGGCCAGCAGTGAAGAACCAAGACTGAGTTCCATAGGTCATCACTAGCAACACTCATTTGTTGTAGAGTCTCGTTTTTAAGTTTTGAAGTATACCTGACGAGAAGATGTGCTGTAATTTCCCGAACGCTGCCCAGCCGAGTTGAATCCGTCGATTGACCTCTCGGTCGAAGTTGGACTTACCCATTCGGAATATTTCTCCCAGGTAATCATACTAGTCAACAAATTTGAGCTTAATTCGATTGATTGATTGATTGATTCCAGAGATTGACTTCATTATGATGACCAGATGACAGTGTTCAGTGATGTCTCAGTGATCGCGAGGGTGAAAACCGGCAATGATCACCGAATGGTGGAGGAAATGGACCTGGTCGAAACCAGGTCCATTTCCTGTGGGACCGCTTCTGGAAGAAAGAGTTCATCATAAAGAGTCCCTCTTTCTCCATGAAGTCGGCCAGCTTCTGGCCCCTTGGGTTCCGTGTCCCTATTACAAATTTCCCTACCTTCAGCTCACCGTTCTCTCTTGTGCCTAATTTTGCATTGAAGTCTCCCATTAACACCGTATATTGGGTTTTGGAGGAATGCATGGCTCTAGAAATATCCTCATACATTTCCTCCACCTCCTATAATACTCCAGCATAACTTGTCTATCTCTTTTTCTAGCTCCAGGATCTTCTCTTCAGTCATCGGGGTGAGTGCGTTATATGTTGCCAGGTCGAGTGGTCTTAGGTGGCAACCGAACCTCCACCGGAGATTCTTAGCACCCCCTGTCCCGCCGTTACCATGAAGCATACAATTCGTGTATGGTCTTAAACAAATAGAAAACATAACAGACATAAAAACCGCTGTCATGTCCTACCGTGCACACGTAGAATCATTACTGCACTATGTTTTTATGTGAGGCAACAGCAGCAATAATCCTAGAATAAGAAAATGTAACAAAACTAGTTTATTTATATTTTTACACTTGTACCTAATTACTTAAAAATATTAAATACCAGATTATTTAAATGAAAATAGTGTCAGGGGTTAAATGATTGTAAATTCTATAGTATTAAGGATTTTTGAATGAGAAACTCGTGGAAACTGTCCATGCGGTCGGAGCTAAGTTCTGCAAGACCCGCCGCAGAAGAACACAAAAACTCTCCGATCACACTCTTAATCTCATGGCTGTTAGACGGGAGATGAAGCTACATTCTTCAACAGATTTGACAGCATACAGGCAACTGAACAGACAGATCTCCAAATGCATGCGGCGGGACTTACGCAACTTGTATTGAAGAAGCGATCGAGCGGAACCAAGGCTCCAAAGACTTTGTCAGAGATCTGTCTGCCAGAAAGAGCCAACTGTCGAAGCTGAAGACCGAGTGTGGCAGCATAGTTTCCGGGGCACCTGAGATTTTGAGTGAGATTGAGAGGTTCTATGGGCAGCTGTACACGTCATCGTTGGAGCCACACGCAAGTGTGAGTAACGATCCAAGAACGAGTCTTATCCGACACTATTCCGAAGATATCCCGGAAGTCAGTCTGAGCGAAATTAGAATGGCTCTCCAGCGCCTTAAAAACGGCAAGGCCCCAGGCGAGGATGGAATTACAGCGGAGCTTCTGAAAGCGGGTGGAAAACCGGTACTTGAAGTCCTTCAGAGGCTCTTTAATTCCGTCCTCCATGTTGGCATTACACCGGAGCCGTGGAGCAGAAGTGCGGTGGTCTTGTTCTTCAAGAAAGGTGACAACGCTCTCTTGAAGAACTACAGACCAATTTCCCTTCTGAGCCGCGTCTACGTGCTGTTTTCGAGAGTCATTACGAATCGTCTCGCGCGCAGTATTGACGACTTCCAGCCTCCCGAACAAGCCGGTTTCCGAAAGGGTTTTAGCACCATAGACCACATACATACCCTTCGGCAAGTTGTACAGAAGTCCGAGGAGCACAATTTGCCGCTATACCTGGCGACTATGAGAAAGCCTATGATTCCGTCGAAATTTGGGCGGTGCTACAGTCCCTTCAGCGGTGCCAAGTTGACTGTCGGTATATCGAAGTGCTGAAGTGTTTGTACAGTAGAGCTACGATGGCAATCCGAGTACAGAACCAGAGTACGAAACCTATCCAATTGCAGAGATGTGTAAGTCAGGGTGACGTTATATCCCCGAAACTCTTCACCGCTGCATTGGAAGACGTTTTCAAGCTTCTGGACTGGAAAGGATACGGTATTAACATCAATGGCGAGTACATCACTAGGACCTAAGCACCATGCTCAATGAACTCAATAGTGTCTCCCAACGAATAGGTCTTAGGATGAACATGGACAAAACAAAGATCATGTTTAATGTTGTTGGGAGCACTAAGCTCGAAGTTGTTGACGAGTATGTTTACCTGGAGGACAAGTAGTCCGACTAGGTAAGTCTAACTTCGACCGAGAGGTCAATCGACGGATTCAACTCGGTTGGGCAGCGTTCGGGAAACTACGACACATCTTCTCGTCAGACATACCTCAAAATCTTAAAACGAAATTATACAACCAGTGCGTGTTGCCAGTGATGACTTACGGATCTGAGACGTGGTCCTTTACTGCTGGCCGTATGAGGAAGCTCAAAGTCGCTCAGCGAGCTATGGAGAGGGCTATGCTCGGGGTTTCTCTGCGTGATAAACTTAGAAATGAGTATATCCGCAGTAGAACCAGAGTAACCGACATAGCCCAACGGATTAGTAAGCTGAAGTGGCAGTGGGCTGGCCATATAGCTCGAAGAACCGACAACCGATGGGGAAGAAAGGTTCTTGAGTGGCAGCCTCGTACCGGTAGGCGAAGTGTAGGGCGACCCCCCACGAGATGGAGTGACGACCTGGTAAGACATGCAAGAAGTCGATGGATGCAGGTGGCTCAGGACCGTGCTTTGTGGCATTCCTTGGGGGAGGCCTATGTTCAGCAGTGGACTTATAAAAGGCTGTAATGATGATGATGATGATGAAGGATTTTTGTAGTGATAAATATTAATGTATAATAAAAAATTGTATGGTATGTAACCGTAGCAAAACATACTGATCTGTAACATTCTGTAAAATCTTTTATATACTATGTTTTATGCAAGTAAATTATTATTATTACTATGGGGGAGTTTGTTTTGTTGTGCAGCAGTGGATTTAATGTTAGATTGAAAGTCAGCTGTATTGAATGAAACAAATGAAAGTTGTAGGTATCTCCCTAAATTTGTTCATAAACTGCAAAGCATCAGAGTTCTACATTCAATGCGTAAATAATATCTATCTTCAATGAGGGCTAATAATTTTCTGCTCACCAGATGTCGCTAGTTGACAATGAGGTAAAGTTTTTTGTTACACAATTGAGAAGTTAGTTTTTAATAAAAGTTTATTAGTTTCTAGAGTATTATATTAATACACAAAACAATCTGTCAGTGGTTTGATCTTTAAGTTTTTGCACATTTTTAACATTTTTTTTTAATTTTTCCCCGTTATGAAATCTGTTAAATATTATACTTCACTTTCTAGTGGCGCCGCCCTGGTGGCAGAAAAGTCGTGGATGCCCTCATTAGGATCGAATTTGGTTGAAAATGTGTGACCACTGTAAAGTACTCTATAGATAAAAATCACACGATCCTTCTTGCTTCCTTTTTTAAGTTGGTAAAAATAACAGTTCATTTAGAGTTCAGTTTCAAAAGAAATCCGGATAGATTAGTGTTAAGCGTCATTCCGAGATCTGCTAAATTCAGAAAAAGTTGTGTAGCAATGTGTGTTAAGATATATAATAAGATCCCCAATGACATTAAAAACCTTAAAATGAATTTATTTAAATCGAGACTATATAGGTGGCTTATTGAACTAAAAGTGTACGACATTAAAGAATTTATTGACCTTAGGCTTTAATAATTTTTGATTTGTTAATATTAATTTTATGAATGTATTTGACCCTTTTTTTAAATAAATGTAACTTTAAATGTATATAACATAAACTTAAATTTGCATGCTAATTATAAGCAAAACATGTGTACTTATTTTACTGTACCACCTACAAATACCATGTTTTAAGCAAATAAAGAATTTATTATTATTATTATTATTATTTATACCACTGATCACAGATATTAAAAAAGTCAGCAAAGCAAGTGATGTTAACAGAAGTGTCATCAAAGGACCTGGAATTTGATTACTCTTCACTTCAAACCTTGATTGCTGAGAGGGCCTCGGAGATCAGCTCAGTGGCGAAAGCGACTGCACCTGCACTTATTCCATTGGGAGATGGGTAAGTTCCCTGATAGTTGAACTTTCTTCTAATTTTTTTTTACCAAACAGGATTGTTTTGGAAATTATTGCACTTCTGATATAAGAAATGACTCACAAGTCATTACACAACTGGAGAAAATTCAGGCGTAGTACTAAAAACTTTATGTAAAATAACACACTCTCGATTTTTCCACCTCTATTCACAAGCCTTGCCTATAACATCTACTCACTTTTGACATATTTCTTATAAGTAAACGCCACCTACCCTACAAACTATATAATATACTAGCTGTTCTTCGCGACTTCGCCCGCGTGGAATTTACTACGATTTCATGGGTTTTAATATTTTGCGCGGAACCCTAATTATTTTTATAAAATTAAAGTGGCCTAAGTTACTCCTTATAATATCAGCTACCTGCCAGTGAAAGTCTCCTCAAAATCGGTCCAACCGTTTCGGAGATTAGCCGGAACAAACAGACAGACAAACAGACAAAAATTTAAAAAAGTATGTTTTGTTATAAGTACCGTATAAACTTTCGTATGTATTTAGTAAAAAGCTATTATTTTGACATTACAAACAGACTCTTCAATTTTATTTATTTGTATAGATGTATAGATTACACTGTACATGTTTTCCGAGGCACGGGAATGAAACACCGCCACCTCCCTGACTCCGGGCTGCTACTGAGTATTTATTGACAAAAAGCCCAATAATTTATTTTGATCTGACCTGAGATTCGAACCCGGGACGACCTAATCAACAGCCGCGCTTACGGTCACTAAACCGTCGAGAGTCTTGTCGGCGTGTGTGCGTGCGTGTGAGTGTGCGTGCATGTGTGTGCGTGTGCGTGTTTGCGTGTGCGTGTGTACACTGCAATCTTAGATGCTGACTTAATAATAGTGGCAAAGAAAGTGCGCCTAGCAGCAGGATATACTTGTATACAACTTTTTACTAAACGTAGCACTTGCATGGTGTTTCAGGAGTCCACCTAATCGCATGGCGATGAAGGAGTTGCTGGAGGCGCTCATGTCGAACGAGTACATGCCGCTGCACCGCACGTTGAAGGCGGCGGGGCCCATCCCGCCACCGACCTTCCTGCTGGACCCCACTGAAATATGTTTCGCTGATGAGGTATTATCATCACAGAATAGCGATATAATATGTGCGTTTTCAAAATTTAAATCAGTTTCGCGGCAACAGCAATAATAAAAAAATTGCGACCAATTCGCAGGTGTCCATCTAAAAAACTTTGGTGGGGTCAGAAATTGAAATTTCACTCGCGCTATTCTTTCATCCCCATGTAAGATTTGAGTAAAGAGCCAAACCATGACCATAACCCTAGATCCGCACCTACGGCACCGTGGATCCGATTTAAGAAACTTGTATTCTAGAGTACTAGATCTCATTGATACCTATTTTATTCACGTTGCAGGGCGTATGGAAAAACCTCGTAAACCGCGGTGCGTACGTGCCTCTATACGACACGGAATACGAAGGGTTGCTAGGCTTGAAGCCTCCCGAAAAGGTTCCGGAAAAACGCGTCGGTCAACAGCACAAGCCCAAGGTAACTGTGGTAATGATTCTTTCTATTCTTTAACCTTAATGGCGGGAATGTACTTGTAGCTTGCACAATGGATTAATATATTGTAAGGAACTATTCCACTTCTGATGTTAGAACTATTTAAATAAAAGAATGTTAGTCGTAACGATTTCTTATATTTTACTACACATTAAATGAAACTAATCTTTACGGATTTTATCGCATTTGATTGGAAGTCTGCAGTGTGTGAACATGTTCAAGATCGTCTCTCCCATACATAGATTTGATAGACCACAAATCCTCGCTAAAGAACACCTATTCCTACCAAGGATAATTCGCGAGTATACTAAAATTAAAAAAAAACATCCCAATTTCAATAGAGAAGATGGATGGATGCTGCCATCTGCTTGGGATCCTGTAATTAATAAAATCAAATCCAAACCCAAGTATACCACTGCAAGACTTCAAGATACTGTAAGCTCATTCTGCATAGATCGGACCAAAAATGAATATTCAAAGAGCGAAGGTAGCCGGGCTAACTATGACATCGGGACGTCAAACACCTCAACCCCCTCCCCGTGACCATGGGTGGAATTAAAAAGTTAAATTAAACGCGATAAAATCCGTAAATAATCTTTATTTAAAATGTTACTCGTATTAGAAATTACTCTGAAGGGTAATGGTTAAACGCAATAAAAGTGTAAGAGGCAGCCTCTCAACAATACGATCTTCCTTGCTTAGATACACTAGAAGAACTACTACACAAACAGAACCACATCACTTGTCTTACTTATGCAGAATCTCAGTGTAGAAGTAATGTTTTGGCCCGGAGTGCATAATAACGATAGTGAAATTTAGAAATACAGCCTGCTGCTTCCCAGTCGCCTGCGCGATACTTTATACTGCTACAGAAAGTGAGAGAACACCGTTACACCATCATTTGGTCGTAGTTCATTTTATTTTTCCCCCATTACCCACACATTCAAATTACGGGGATGCCACGAAGCAAAACGCGTGTAACTTTATTAACAAAAACATGTTCAGTCCCCATTTACTAGCTCAAGCCATTGTTTCGTATTCAAGCTACTTCCAAAATTTCTTTTTTTTTGTGTTTTTTCTTTTTTTATAATACGTTACCCCCCCCCCCCCCCTTACACACACACACACACACACACACACACACACACACACACACACACACACACACTAAGATTTTTTCCTGTATCGTGAAGGCAGTTTACAAACATAAATTGCGCACACACAAATATCGAGACCTGGAACAATTATTTGCAGGCCATAGATATACTTGTTGCGTGCGGGATCTGAACCCGCGGCTCCGAGCGCTGGAACTCATTGATAAGCCACTGCACCACGGAGCCGTCAGTCCCTATTTACTAGCACAAGCCATTATTTGGTATTCGAGCTACTTCCCTAATTTGATGGTGTGTGTTGTATTCCCTTTGTGTTGTATTACCTTAAGAGTTTCTCTCGTATTGGTGGCGTCTGTTCGTCTATTTTCATTCTGTCTGACTCTTTTAACTCTTTAATTTGCTGTATGACAAAACACCAACTTACTTATCTTTCTTTCGACTATGTGAAGACCTAGGTTGACCCTGACTACGGCGAACTCCAAATGTTTTTTTAAATGTATTTAAAATCTGAAAAATTCCTTAAAAAAGGCTTTATAACGTTTGTTGTGAACTAATGTGCCTTTTTTTACAAAAAAACATTAATCCCAGGAGGAGAAAAAAGAGAAGAAAGAGGAACGAGAGGAGAAGAAGCCAGAAGAGAAGGATGCGGCCAGTTTAATAGTCGAGGCGAAGGAGCTGACTCAATTAGCTCTCAAAGGAGCCCTAAGCGTTCAACATCAGCAGAGGCTCCTGGCGTTACTCGATCAAGAGCCAAATATTGTTTACGAAATTGGTGTTACGCCTTATCAGGTAATTTTCAGCCGACTTCAAATGAGGGGTAATCAATTCGAATGTATTTTGTATGTATTTTAGGGGCCATTCATTTATTACGTAAGGCTCCCGAGGGGGAGGTAGGTAAAAAAAACTACATGCCCTCGTGTTGGGCGGGCTGAGGGTAGTAATTTCTTCTCATTCCTATTCTTACGTAATATGTTGCAAGTCGAAATTTAATATTAGAAATCTAGTTCCTTTTCGAATGCCGAATTATTTTCTTAATTGTTTATTAATGCACACTTCGATTTACATCTCATTTTACTTTTTTTTTATTGTGCATTAAAATTTTAATTCTTAAATGTGTTCATTTCTATCCATTTTAAATGTTATAAATAATAATTATACGTAGTACATTCTTCTCGCGTATTAATCTTATTTTAATTACATATTTGGAATATAAAAATGATGTTTTTATTTTCAAGCAACAATAGCATTTAATGATTATATTTTTATTCAATAATAATTCCTAAGACTAGCACTATTTAAATCAAAGTTCGTGTAATTTTGTACGAACTTACATATTGCGTGAAAAATTCAAAATCGCCGAAAATACTGGAAATTTACAACATAAAGTAAATTTAAATTTATGTACAGTGGTGATGATTTCCGTCTTTTTTAAGCGTCTAATTCTGCCACATTTCATTATTCTGAAAAACAAGATAGGATCTTACATAAGAAGAGGGAGGGGGCTCAAGAAATCTCAAAATTGGCCAAAATCATCCTTACGTAATTAATGAACGCCTCCCCCCCCCCCCCCCTTACGTGATATCTTTTAACAGTGGTAGAGCCACGCGGCAACTTTTGCTGTCGCACGGATGGGCCGGCTCGAACCGGGGTGGTACCACGACCTCACAGAAAACCAGCGTGAAGTAGAGGTTTACCTCTGCGTTTCGCTTGGTGAGTGCAGGTGGCCGGAGGCCCTTTTTACTGGAAATGAGGCATTCCATGTTAGTCCTAATGGGTGACAACGCATCTACATTTTAATTTGTAAGAGAGGATGTATGTAGATGTCTATGGGCCGCAGAAACCATTTACCATCAGGTGGACTGTGTGCTCGTGTGTCACCCTTGTCCTATAAAAAAAAAATCTTCGCCAATTGTTTTACGAATGGGTTGACTCGACCCGCTGTCATAAAACACCAGTGTAAAATAGCAGCTTAATTCTGCTGTGTTTCGTACTGTGAGTGTAAAAAAACCGGAGACCCTTTTTACTGGAAACGAGGGATTCCATCTTAGTCCTCAGGAGTGACAACGCATGGACTGTGTGCTCGTTTTTCACCCTTATCCGATACAAAATACGTTAATGAAAAATAATATAATGATTTGTCTACCGCAGCTGCCCGACCTCGTGGAGAACAACCCCATGGTGGCGATATCGGTGCTGCTAAAGCTGATCCACTCGCAGCACATCACAGAGTACTTCAGCGTACTGGTCAACATGGAAATGTCCTTGCACTCCATGGAAGTTGTCAACAGGTGAAGCGATTTCTATCTTTCTTTTTGGATTTTTTGTTGTTTAAAAAACGTTACTGTACACTGTGATTTTCTCCTGTATCGTGGGGGCAGCAAAACAATTATTCGTGCGGGATTCGAACCCGCCGCTGATACGGCTGCAACTCATTACTAAGCCACTGCGCCCCGGGGCCGTCAAACCAATTTGTGTAGGTAGTAAGTTTTTGTGAACCATTTTTTTTTATTTTGCTTCATGATGTATAGTTTGTCATACATTCTCAAATAGGTCTGTAATAAAACTTGTGTATTCCCGTACTTTTAATTATGTAAAATTATCAAAATAATATTTTATAATTTGAAATTTAATATTTTGTACAACCGACTTCAATATATATTATTAAGGATAACTCAAAAACTATTTGTCAGACCTTGATCAAATTTATATGGGACCACATGAAAAAAGAAACATACAGTCGAATTGAGTACCACTTTCTTTTTGAAGTCGGTAGAAAAGGATATCTAGACCGCAAGATTGAATATGATGGATTTCCATAAAGTAACTCTTGATTCTATTAATTATTTTGTGATTCATCCATCTATTTACAGCCTATAAAATCCACTGCTGAACATTGGCCTTCCCCATACAGAGACTTAGCCATAGTTGGCACGCTTGGCAACCACAGTTTTTTTTATTATTTAAGTTGTTACTCATTGCCTGTTTCAGTTTTCCTCTATTGGGACGATATGTAGTGGATATTCTTACAATGCCATTACACGGTTTTTTAATTTCATAATTGTAAAGGACTTTATTGTTTTGCTGCGTAATAAATATTTTCAATGTTCTGTGTTTGATTGCAAGACTGACCACATCAGTGGACCTGCCCGTGGAGTTCGTGCACCTGTACATCAGCAACTGCATCTCGACCTGCGAGACCATACGCGACCGCTACATGCAGAACCGCCTCGTCAGGCTCGTCTGCGTCTTCCTGCAGTCGCTCATCAGGAACAAGATTATCAATGTCAAAGTGAGTGCTCATAACTATTCGAAAGGGTGACAATTGGGCACATAGTCTACTTGATAGTGGTGGATGCTGTAAACCATAGACTCATCATCATCATCATGACAGTTGAATATAGGCCTCCCTCATAGATTGCCCATAGTTACGATATTTTCCATAGTTGCCACGATCAGCAGGCGAGTTAGCAACTGCCTAAATCACGCTATAGAAGTTTCCGAACAAGTCAGTATACACACAAAATGACAACCCCGGGACGATATGGGGTAGTAATATTGTTACACCGCCACTACACGGTTTACCTTAGGGGCTACCATCGTATATTGATTTTTATTCGAGGATAGATGTAGATGTATATGGACCACACACAGCAGTCACCAGTCATCATTGGGTGGGCTGTGTGCTCGTTTGTCATCCTATCCTATAAAAAAAGAACTGAAAATAAAACTGTTTACAAGATTTTCAACTAAATCATTAAGATCATATTTATGTTAGGAATCGTATTTCGGGTTTATTTGTTGTTTACGCTATCTACGAACCAAGCATCGCGATTCCCGACGAATGGCCTTGCAAGTTGCATGCGTTGGGCATCACAGAACTCACATAGTAGGTAATATGGTTAATTATAGTCCGCATAGGTACTTTACCTTAGTAACTTACCATTTCACAATGTATTTTATACTCTTTATTAACAGCCCTTAACAACCACGGAAAGTCCGTCGTGACGTAGTAAGGAGAAAAGATGCAAAGTGATACGGACACTCGCGCGCAGCGATAAAGTTTTATTTAGCTTGCGTGCGCGATTTGTCTGATTAATAATAACTATGTAGGCTATTAAAACGTCGGCAAGCAGTCAAGATCAAAAGAGTGCAACTTCTGTACGTATTACTATTATTTATTCTGTGTCATGGTTAGATTAAAAATTATCAACCGACATCTGATGTCATGGCTTCTGGTTGAATTATATAGGATCACTGTACATGTACAGATTTCTTTATCGGAAAATAAAATACAAATAAAAAATATCCAATATAGAATAATATATCAAAATATAACTGAATTCATAACAGATACTTCACCTAATATTAAAATTCAGACCGACATAAATTTTGCTGTCTGCAGAAATTCGTAGCCAGGACCTAAGGACAAGAATGAATGCAATGAATGAATGTCACGTGAACAATTCGGTCAGTTAATGATTAGTTCTCAGTCACGAAGGTGAAAATATTTGACAACCTTCATGACTGGGAAATAAAATTGTTGGAAAAGTGTAAAGTTAAATCTTTCTTTCTTAAATATTACTTATATTTTTATTCAATGAGGACATCAACTACTTTTTCTGCCACATTGACGGCGCCAATTATAAATGAGGTGTTATATTTGGCAGATTTCATAGCGGGGAAGTTAATTTGTTCGGAAAATTTAAAGTTTAATGTTTCTTTCTCTACTATTAGATTTATTTTATATTTATTAGTATAAAACATAAATAAACCTTACCACAGTTATAACATAAAAGTTGAAAATTTTTAAAAGAGTTAATAATTTACAAAAAATTAAAAAGCAAACCACTGAGGCATTGATTTGTGTAGAGCTATGCTGCAGCTATATTAGTAGTAAAGTTGTAGTACGAATTGGTCGGCTCGACCGGGGAAGGACCACACTCTCACAGAATACCGGAGTAAAATAGCAACTTAACATTGCTGTATTTCGTACGGTGAGTGTAGAGAATCGGAGACCCTTTTTACTGGAAAAGAGGCATTCCATCTTAGTATTCACGACTAACAACCCATCTGCATTTTGATTCTTTATTGAGGATAGATGTAGATGTTTATGGGTCACAACAACCACTTACCATCAGCTGGACTGTGTGCTTGTTTGTCACCCAATCCTATAAAAAAATATAATACTCTAGAAACTGATAAACTTTAATTTAAAACTTACTTCTCAATTAAAAGACATTTTGTAACAAAAAACTTCTGCTCAGTGTTAACTAGTGACATCTGGTGAGCATAAGATTATTAGACCTCATTAGACTGGAAGTTGATAAACCAAACTACCGACATTCCTAAAAGACAAATAATTAAAAAAATATGCAAAAAATTAAAGAGCACACTGCTGGGGCATTGTTTATTGTACATATATTCATCAGAAATCGAAAAACTTATTTGAAACGCAACTTAAATAATGTGGCAACTGTGTGGCAAATAACTTCTCCTCAGTCCCAACTGGCGACATCTGGTGAGCGAAAAATTATTAGCCCTCTTTCTAGTAAAACTTTAAAATCATTAGAAAAATCTAATAAATGGAATGATTTGATTGACTTATCCCTATACTCTATTCCAATTACGAAATCCCTTTTGACACTTTGCTTTTTGACACTTTTGCGTTTACGTTCTATAGTTTTATTTTTATTTTTTATAGTGACGTGACTAACAGAATCGTATAAAATCGATTATAGACAGATTCTTTTCGCGAGTGAAAATCTGTCAACACTGCGTCCACCTCGTGATCACGACCGCCATTTTGTTTGTCTCTTCAGTAGTTTGATAATTCTTTCGTTGTTATTAAGTTTTGATTTGTTTTTTTTTTGTATTTATAAACACTACGGCCGAAACTGAGACCACTAAAAGAACAGTGATGCGCAGTCAAGCGCGAGAGTTTGTAGTACGCCTACAAGATTACTTTGAAAGAGAGTATCAGAATGGTGGTCCATTGTTGCCACTTTCACAAGTGACTAACCGAGTAAGTGCAGCTCTTGGTATTAGTCGAAAAACTGTTTCCCGAATAAGTAAGGAAAAACATGGTAAAGATTTAATGGAAGATAAGAAATTAAAATCGCCACGAAGCCGGACACAATGTAATGCGCCTTCCACCCTACCATTATCAATACAATGCCATAGAATTGATTTGGGCGCAAATTAAATGCAAGAATTTGAGAAAAAACAAATCTTTTTTATAATTTATTTTTACCTATTTTAACATTTCATCTGTTGCTATATTAACACGCAAACCTTTATTTTAGGTTATGCGGCTCGTAAAAATACCAGCCCACCGTTTACTGTAAACAAAATGCTGTCATTGTTGCAAGAAGCTTGTGATAGTGTTACTGCTGCGAATTGGGAAAGTGTGGTTTTACGAACAAAAAATTTGATTTTCGCTGATTGGTACAGAGACATACATATCGATGCCGTCATAGATAACCAAATTATAATAAATACAGGGGATTCTACAGACGATGATGAGGGTGATGACGACGATGCTGACCATGAAATATCGATTTCGGCTGGTGATGATGAATATGTTCCATCTTGATAAATATATCATGTAATATTATCTAATTGAAATTAAAAAACAGTTTTATAAATTTTAATTTGATGCTAATCCTTTTTCTGTCAATACGATTTTAATTTGTTCGTTATAGTAATCGAAGATCAATATCGTCAAGTATCGACTATAGCGGTACTTTACTATTACTTGATTATTGACATCTGTCAAATGGGACTTCGTAATTGGAATAGAGTATAATTGTACTCTCTGTTTTCGGACGGTATTTCATACATCCATACAAATAAACAAAATTGAAGTGTCTGTTTGTAATGTCAAAAATAACAACTTTATGCACATGAAAGTATAAACGATACTTAAAACAAGAAAATAAATTTTTAATTTTTTTTTCTGTCTGTCTGTCTGTTTGTTCCGTCTAACCTCCAAAGTGACTGGAACTATTTTAATAGGACTTTCACTGGCAAATAGCTGTCGTTATAAATTTATTTAAACGTTTTTTTTTTACGTTTAATTTAAAATTTTTTTATTTAAGAAATAATTAGGGTCACGCGCAAAAAATATAACCTGTGAAATGCTATCGTATAAATTCCACGCTGATAAAGTCGCGGAGAACAGATCTAACTTATAATTTAATAATAAAATTCATAAATCCTGTGTGTCAAAGAACACGTTCACACCTATTGTTATTTTTTTTATATTTACAGGAACTCTTTATCGAAGTAGAAGCATTTTGCGTAGAATTCAGCAGGATCAGAGAGGCGGCAGCGCTGTTCCGACTCCTCAAGCAACTGGACTCCGGCGACGGCATCGGACATAAAGAGACCAAGGAAAACTAGCACAAGATCAAACGTACCCGAGTGTACTTGATGGAAACACGCCTAGGTGAAAAGATCCACCTCGTGTAGTTATAGGGTTTCAACTCTCGATAGACTCATTTACTAACATTGCTTTAATGCATCGTATTTGACTGAAGTCAGTTGGACCACTTCTTTGTGGAGAAAGTGTATAAAATATTGTATTTTACCTGATAAGAAAATATTGTATATTTTTGAAGAATAAACTTAAACAGCAAGTAATTGTTATAACAGTATAGCATTCATTTTGTTTTGGAGAGGTTAACAAAATTTTAGTTTGAGCTCAAACCTACAAAGAAATATTATACGGAGCACTGCGTAAATTCAAATTGACGCCGAAACCACGCTAGGAATTGTATGTACATATAGTGATAAATATGTAATGACGTCATGGCTATCATAGTCAAATCATCTCATTTGTATATTTGAGCCGACTTCAAAGTAAGGAGGAGGTTTTCAATTTGACCTTGTTCATTTTTATTATTATATTTTTATATGTGTATATCTATATAAATAAATAAAATTGAAGTGTCTGTTTGTAATGTAATAATTACAGTTTTTAACTAAATGCATATGAAAGTTAATACGGTACTTATAACTAAAATACAATTTTTAAATTTTTTGTCTGTCTGTTTGTTCCGGGTAATCTCCGAAACGGCTGGACCTATTTTGACGGGACTTTCACTGGCAGATAGCTGATTTCATAAGGAGTAACTTAGGCTACTTTTATTTTAGAAAAATAATTAGGGTTCCGCACAAAAACATAAAAACCCTAAAACACGAACGAAGTCGCGGGGTACAGCTAGTTTTTTATAGAATAAGGTACAAACGAGCACACACTTCACCTGATGGTAAGTGGATGCTGTAGCCCAAAATAGACATCTACATCTATCCTTCATTAAGAATTAAAATGCAGACGCGTTGTCATTCCTGAGGACTAAGGTCTCCGGTTCTCTACACTCACCATACGAAACACAGCAGCATTAAGCTGCTATTTTACGCTGGTATCGTGTGAGAGCGTGGTTCTTCCCCGGTCAAGCCGACCCGTTCGTGCTACAACCACAATATATCTGTAGCGTGGCTCTACCACGTAAAAACGTATGTATGTTATTATGTATGATTCTCAATTTTGAATCAATTTCATGACTTTGCCTTAAATAGGTTATGTGGCTCCAGTACACGTTGGCCGAGCGCGCTCGCCGAGTGCGTTCGGCCAACGTGTACTGGGCCGTTTTGTGTGTATTTGGCGTTTGCGGCCAACACTCGCCCACAAGCCGTATAGTGTCGGTTTTCCGTGCACAAATCAAAGAAATTTGGCGCAAGCCGCAAGCAGCGATCACACGTTGGCCGAGTGTTCAGTTCATAGTTACGCGTTGAAGTAGACTGTAGTGTCGGCTTAATAAAATTGTTTCAACATGGCGACATGGACTGATGAGGAAATATTTATTTATTTATTTAACAGTTTATGTACACACATAATTCGATAGGAAAATGGTAGAAACATAATTATGTACACACACACACATATATATATATATATATATATATATATATATATATACGCATGTATATATATAAATAAATATTATATATTATGAAAAAATATATAATTCAATATAATATATTTTTAATGTTACTTATATGCATACCAACACATTACGATTTAATAATTATGGAGTGAAATATTGATTCATTGTTCATTGATTGATTCTCACAATGAATCAGTTATATGGAACACCAAACAGAGACTTACTCTGGTTTTATTTTTAACTTGCCTAACTGCATTAAATAATACATATTTAGTTGCGATTTCTGAGTATCTACCTAATGATAAATATTATTATAAATTATCTCTGCGTTTATGTTGCTCAGGGATAATGTAGCTTAGGGGCTTCTTTTGGGCTATCTTTTATTTTGAAAAAACCCCCAGCGAAGCGGGCACGGGTTAGCTAGTAGATCCTATAAAGGTTACTTTTTCCTTTTGAGGTCGGAACCCTAAAAAGGACAAACTGGGATTATTGTTGTATGTGTAGTTTTTTTTTCCGTTCACTCTGAATATGACAGCGGCCACGATTGCCCTAACGTCCATCATCATCTAGCTACCAACGCAGAATGGAACACGCCAACGTGTGAACGGCACCACGAAAATCTGCCGAGCGCGCTCGCCAAGCGCACTCGGCCAACGTGTACTGGAGCAATTACACTTCAGAATGGTAGAAAAATTAGGGGTGAAGTTTTTAATTCAACTATTCAGACGGACGAGCTTGTGACATTCCTGCAGTCCACACGAAATGGTCAAAAAATTAGACATTAAATAAAGGTGAAAGCAAACTTCAAAGAGCTAAAGAGAATAAAATAAACTAAGCTTGCATTTAAGTTATTTTTGATGTTCAAAGTTATGTTAAAATATTGAATGCGAACGTTTCCAGACCTGTTTGTTACCCGACCGTCCCAGAAGAAGGATAACATTTTACGAGAGTATTGTGTATGTGTGCATGTATATATGTCTATTAATTTGACAGGCTTTGTGGGTTAAACGACTTGATGGATTTTAATGTATGAGGTGTTGTTATATTCGTTTTGATTGTGAGAGTGACATAGCCTATATGATATTTATATATTGCCGGCCAAGTGCGAATCGGAGTCGCACCACTGGTTCCGTACCATCGTTAAAACACGTTTCTAGTAGGGGAACTCGTTTTAATTTTTATTATTAGTTGTTATAGCGGCAACAGAAATACACATTCTGTGAATATTTCAACTGTCTCCCTATTACGGATCAAAAGATACAGCCCGCTGACAAACAGACGGAAGGACGGACAGCAGAGGCTTAGTAATAAGGTCTCATTGGTTACCCTTCGGGTACGGAACCCTAATAAGAGAAGGGATGGTTAATTGATTTTTTCAGTAAACTTTTTAATACGCTTGTTTACTGCTGTGTTTACGTCCAAGTCTAGATAACGACGAGACAAATCGATAGCATGCTTAGTTTTTGGCTTACATCATCAAACGGTGAAGTAATCACCCTCCAATGTTAGTATGGAAAAATGGCCTGCTGGCGCAGACTTGATGTCATGAACAAAAAGTTTATACTCTTAGTTCGATACTATAATAATATAAACGATAGAATCTATTATATATTTATATATATATATATATATATATATATATATATATATATATATATAAACCATCCATTTATTACAGCCTAGTCCACTGCTGAACATAGGCCTCCCTCATAGATTTGACGCACTTGACAATTGGCAACCGCAGTTTTTTCTACCGACTTCAAAAAGGAGACGGTACTCAATTCGACTGTATGTTTTTTTTGTGTGTTACCTCATAACTTTTTACTGGGTGAACCAATTTCGATGATTCTTTTTTATTTGAAAGCTGGTACTTCACATGTGGTCCCATATAAATTTGATCAAGGTCGAATCAATAGTTTTTTAGTTATTCTTAATAATTTATATTGAAGTCGATGGTACAACATTTTTAATTTTTAATTATATTGAGTTGTTATTTTTCAGTTTCATTTTCTTTTTGTCGACACCTCTTACGACACCCTCGGAACGATACGGGATAGTGGATATTGTGACACCGCCACTACAACGGTTACCACGCATATGCGTCAGATATGCCACCTATAAATGGTCATGGTCTCGTGAGAGACGATAGAAAATACCCATAAGATCACATAAGCTCTTGTGGAAATTGATGAAAGGCGGTATGTGTAATAATTCTGACCATCTGTCACTTTATTAGCTTATGGTTGTCACTGTTGAACCTGAGTTTTCCATTTTAGGCAAGATTTGCTGTAATCACCACACTTGGCAGGTGTATTTTTTCTTTTTCATATTTCTTCACAGCCCGCAAAAGTTCACATTTTCATAATATAGTTACGTTGTAAGGAGAAATCCTGCACCTCAATACTTATCGTCAGCGGTCTATATGTTTTACGCATATATACTATACGTGATAGAGCCATGCTGCAGTTCTATTATGGTTGTAGCACGAATGGGTCGGCTCGACCGTGGAAGAACCACGCTCTCACAGAATACCAGCGTCAAATAGCGGCTTAACACTGCTATGTTTCATATGGTGAGTGTAGAGATCCGGAGACCCTTTTTACTGGAAACGAAGCATTCCATCTTAGTTCTCACGGCATTTTGATTCGCAATTGAGGATAGATGTAGATGTCTATGGGCTACAGCAACCACTTACCGTCAGGTGGACTATGTGCTCGCTTATCACCCTTATCTTATAAAAAAAAAAATAGATTTGAATATACTGGCGTATAAGTCTATGATTTTACAATCCGAAAGATGGCAGCACCCAGCCTAAAGCTAATAACCCACTGTGCAATTTTCAGTGGCGTCCGCCGTGGCAGGGGAACTGCTATTTTATTTGAAAACTCACGAGACTTTTATATATAGAGGCCAGTGACTAGACCGCAGTTTCGTGTGGATTCCTGTCCGCCGCGAAGATGGAAACGTTCGCAAACATGTTGGATGATGATCGCAAGTCGGGCGGGCACAAAGCGAGTCATTCGCGTTGGCTCTATTACCAGAAAAATCGCCGTGCAGTTAAAATATTTGAAAATAAATATTATCGGGCTTAGAATATTTACGCATATTGGAGTTGCTAATCATTGCCTAAAGGCGGCTCTTCACGTTGTGCCCAACATTGTGGAGAATGTTGTGGACAATATCTATGGTCATGTAGAGCGGGTGTTTGTGCTTACCTTGGTATGTATTGGTATGATGGCCCACAAGTTGGTGCGAGATCCATGTGGTGTCGGTTTTTTACAAAAGATCAAAGGGTTGTGGCAGAGTTATGGCCGCCGCGCCCGCACGATGGGCGCGCGTTAAGTTTGCTACGAGCTCCCAGAAGGATTGCATGCATTTGATTTAAATTTTATATTCACGCGTCGTAACTAGTATCTATAAAATATCAGTAACAATGAACAATGAAGAAACTTTTCGCTTTATATAGCTCTACCAAGCCGAAAATTTTTGATCACCATTTTCTTATACACGTGTATCTTCTTTCCGCATATTGGCCTGAACCGAAGCAAACTGAAAGACCTTCCAACGTGTGTACGCCATCACAAACTCTTGACTAATATCTTTGCCACAACATTCGCCACAATGTTTGCCAACGTGACGAGCTACCACAAAACAAACTCCATGTAATGATGCCGTAAGCGATCTCGCTACGAGCCTGTTCTCTCTGTGCCTGAATATATTTACTAGATTTTTATATTTATTTTACTAGCTTTCCATCCCGCGGTTCCGCCCGCATTAAATAAAGTTGTTCTAATAGTAAGTGTCGACCATCAACCAATGCCACAAATCACGGTCCTAAGCTGCCATGACATGTATGCAAACGGTCCGGCATGAAATACTGTCCCACTCCGCTGAGTTCGCCAAGCTTTTTAGATGCCAATTTAGCCTTCTCTTCCAAGTGACCGCAGAACTGTACGTCATTTGATATGTCGATGCCGAGGATTCTAATGCTGGCTGAGGCAGCACGGGAGAGCGGTCTGAAATTGAGGAGATACGACAAGGGTTCTTTTTAGTGGTGTCTTATGAAGTTCAAACTGAACTAGAGTAGACTCCAATCCGAGATTTTGTTTAAGACTACTTCAGACACAATTTTGTTCTGATACTCGATGACGTGTTCCCGAGAAATATTAGCACGACCAGTGCATCACCAGTGTTACAACCAGTAACCGCTACATATAATTGATATACATAAGAAATGAAAAACTAGAATAAATTTTTTGAATTTTGAGTTTGCGGGGAAACTCGAACAAAAAAGTGGCACGGCCGTACCATCCTTTTCTCGAAGCAGTTCAGGCTATTAAAGATCAATATTAAAAATCTTGTTTTAAATAATTATTTAAAACAAAAGATTCTTAGTATTGATGTGGTCACTATAAGATCTTGTTAGGTTAGATAATTACGTAATAACTTAAGACAGAAGGACCCTTAAGTAGGGACTGAATAAATTAATCGACTTGGTACTACATGGATCTCACAACTTTTTACAGTAGAAGAACTGAGTTGTGAGACTTAGGTTATTTTTACAAGTTATGTTTTGATGGCATAATTATATACATCTGCATAAGTCTAAGATAGAAAGGTGGATCTCGATTTCATGAAACTGCAATATATTCTTACTATTATAATAGAAGGACTATAACAGTAGTAACAATATATTGCATGTAGACTTGTAATAAAAGGTAAACATACATTTTTAATTTTATTTTAATCAAATACAGTTTACCGACAAATAATACAATTCTAATTCTACTCAATAAATGCTCGTAAAACTAATTCTGACTACCTTCCAGAATATTCCTTACTTCTTCATCAGAAGCCAAATCTAATGGTGTACAGCCTTCTTCATCTTTAAGCAATGCAGCACCAAATTTGAGCAATAACTTTGTTGCGTTTAAATGGCCACAAGAAACAGCATAGTGCAAGGCAGTCTGACCAGTATTATCTACTGCATTAATGTCACATCCACCTTTGATAGCAGCATTTAATGCTGAAACTGCATCTCTGTCGGCAGCCCAGTGTAAAGCAGTTAGCCCATCTTCATCCCTTTCATTTTTAAGATTAGGAAACTGAGTCAAAAGTTCTGTTACACGCTCCCCCAAGTCTTCTCGGGCAGCCTCTAAAATAGATAGCTCATTGTGTACCAAGTCTGGTTCAGGACTGAAACGCAGCGAAGAAACTGCAACCCATGCTTCTTTTGAATTACCTTTACTTTCAGTCAACACGTCACCCCATTCAGGATCATATTCTTGTACTGATGCTATATATTTCTGTTTGGCCTCATCACTAGGCATGTCTTCTAAAGTTTTCCATGCTTCCCATTTTTTACGACCCCTTCCATCTAACCAACTTGGTTTTGGTGTGTTACATTTGCCTTCAGTGCTTTGTTTGAATAAGCCGTAAAGTACTAAGAGTTGATTATTGTTAAGTTTTGAAGTAATCTTCCTAACATGATCAGAAGCTTTATTAAAAGATATATCAAGGGGTGACAAGTCATCATCAGAAAAGTCGGAATCTGTATATTCTGGTAGTGCTACAGCCATTGTAATCTAACTGTTTTGAATCTGAACAGTTAAATTTAAACCGTCTAGTGTATGAACTTGCTTATTAGTTGCATTTGCAGCTGCAGATGGGCTTACAAACTCAATGAAACCATAACCTTTACTAAGACCAGTAGATCTATCGAACACAACTCTAGCACTTTGGACAGGTCCAAACTGAGAGAAGTATTCCCTAAGTTGGCGATGACCAACTGTCCAAGAAAGGTTGCCTACATAAAGGCGAGCTGCTCTTGCGGTGCTGGCCATAACCTAAACAGATATTATTTCAAGCAAATGCAAGGATCTGTCGCCGATCAAAGCCCTATAGTCAACTCCAGAACTTTCACTCAGCGAGTCTAAATCCAAAAGCGCTCCTTTCAATCCCCACTTCTTAAGTAGAGCTTCAATGGACCAGTCTGCACTCCGCTCCTGGTAAGCACACAAAAATCGTCCGTCAGTTCCGTCTAAAAGATATGCAACTGTGGAAATAACCTCTTCAAACTGTGACGGTTCGTAAAAGCAATCAGATGCTAAAATTAAATCAACAGGTCGTAAACTATGAACGTCGGCTAAGAAAAGACCCCAAGCCAGTCCAAGTAATTGGATGTCTCGTCCAGGGACCAGACCATTGGCCTCACAACACGCCGCTAAGTGTCGAAGGGATCGTGGCAACGCGACACTGTCAGTCAAAGTTACATGAGCTCCACACTTTGCAGCTAGAATACCAGGTAGACCAGTACCACAACCGAGTTCTAAAATTCGTAAACCGCGTAGATGCCGTCTCTGGGTCCACAAGTACCAAGACAATAAAGGTGCAGACGGCCACGTGTAAAATGAGTAGCCTGCTGACAACAATTCTGGGATTACAATCTCCAGATATTCACCTCTAATATCACCGTTGTTTGATGATTTCCCACGAAATACGAATTTCTTCAATGGACCGCTCACAGGACGACCATCGCTCATTGCATAAGCATAATTGGAAATAGAATTACACTGTTATCTATGAATAGAATTGATCTAAAAAAGGAAGAGACCTATAGATTAATTGTATGACAGTTTGATATTATTGTTATTACGGTTCACCACTAAGGATGGCAAAGGCCTTAGATTATATACAGCCTAGTTTGGTTTGTATTTTAAAAGTTCTTCGTTCTTGGAAGATTTTGACCGGATAACTGATGACAATAATATCACCTATAATAAAACCTAAAATTTATTAAATGGAACAAATTTTACAGATTTTATCGCGTTTAATTTAACTTTTTAATTTCCGACGTTTCGGGTACTTTACAGCACCCATGATCATGCTGGGGCCACAGTAACGAGAAACGTCAATGCCCAAAAACGCGACAATTATTGCCTTAATTTTAACGCGATAAACTGAGTGGCCACACTCGGGTCGGTCAACGTCATTTCAATATCAATGCCGTTGAACGGCGTTAAAGTAAACTGACTGTTACGGCATACGGTTGCTCCCTTAAAGGATCCAATCCTCTGGGGCCCGTGAGCAGAAGACTTCCCGAGCAAACGTAGGTCGGGCCTCAATGTGGCCACGTGGAAATTCCTAATTACAATAAACCAGATGGGAGGACGTTAGAAGGACATAGTACTTACCATTATCCGAAGCTAACTTCGCACCAAGGCTTGGGCAGGCCGTGAGTGTGTGTAATAGTGGATGGAGAGTAGTGTACAGTGAGGGGTGAATGTGTGGGGCCTTGTCAAGCATAGGCGACCAGCTGCTGCCGAGTTCCAGGCTGCTCCAAAATGCTGCCACAGTGCTTCAGACTGCTTCGGCGCTGGACCACAGTCACTTTCTTCTTTCGTCACGATGACAGTCAATTAACTCTATCGTACGATTAACTAACTTACAGAAGCCACTAACTATCGCGGGGTATAAGGTTACCGCACAAGACACGCACGGAGTTTGTGGATCAAAGGTCACTACCGTTTCGCGTTGCAAGAGTTAGTTCTAGAATACAGAGGCCGCACTAGCTAATATTGTCGAATGCACTTATACAGATTCTGAGTCGGACCCAATAAGTCCCGGGGAAGCTCTCCAGTAGGGATACGCGCCACAAAATTCCTAGACCGTATTTTTACTGTCCGCGCTTAATTATTCCGAGTTCCCGCGCTTAATTGGCAGCGTGCCAATCGTGAGCACTGCCTAAGGACGACTGACTGCCCTTGGGCGTTTTTCGCACGACCGAAAGTCAAACCGGTTCAGCGGGACAAGGTCGCGAAGGCAAGTTGCAAGACCGAATCTACAACCAAACTAGGCCACCTTAGGCACCCCATCAGATCTCTCAACCCTAACCAGCGCCTCAAAAAATAGCCCTAATGTGGCAAGCCGGAGGGTCAGCCTCCACTGGATGCCCCTCCTGGGCATCGCAGCACTTTAACAAGTCCTGTACTGGACAGAAGTCCGACGACCTCTTTCAAACACCTATCTGTGCCCCTATGATTAGTTCCGCAATCCGACCGGATCACCTCTGCAAACAGCGACGCGACACGAAGCGGCCCCGAGCGGCCTCCTAAGCTTCAGTGCAGAGAGCACCCACAAATTCCACATGAACGTCGTCTGTGGAGAGCCGAACGAAACGCACAGATAGTCCCTAGTATGAATTTTCAACAAGTAGGCCTAGCCAGGCCAACCACCATATTATCATTTACTAAAATAGTGCGGCAGCTGATTTCAATCTGATAATCTCCAAAACTAGCTAGCCTGTTAGGCAAGTAGTCCTATGCTCATATTTCAATTAATTTTTCAAAAGCATCAATGTTCAACTACAGAATTAATACAACCAAATTAATCACCGATGCGCATAGGTCAACTTGCAAATTAAACAAAACAATAACGTAAGGGACAGCCCTACTTCTTCGCAAAGCAAAATGATTAAACACTATCATAAACATAAACATACTTTTTCAAATAGTGCGCCATTCCATTTCAGATGAATTCAAATTTTCCTTTCAGCAAACAGACGCAACAATCAAATACAGTGATTAAATATATTTACAGAACACATGCAGTAGCATTTAAAGGAGTAGATTAAATTCAATTCTTTTATAATACCCCTTGACAGCGTGATTCAACGCTCCAGAGGGGCCCTAATCTTCCCACCACCAAGGGGAGGCCACATGGCGTGAACCCGAAATCAGAGCACAACCGCTAACAGTCGCCACTCGGGTTGTACGCCTTCACTGAGGCAGTCGGCAACAGAACATTTTGACAAGTGGACTGTTGACGGCTTAAGGCTCAGTGGAGGTGGCCGTGGTGGGAGCCAAGGCAGCAGCTAGTCAGGGCCGCCTCCATCAAATGGGGAACAGTGGTACACCAGTCGCGGCCACTCAGCTAACGGGAGTGAGAAGGGTCCAGCGGACCGATGAGTGGCCGTGAAGTTCCTCTCCACACGCTTAGGGGGGGTGATGACACCCCCGCCCCTGGGGGAATTACCCCCCGACTGGTCGGGGGAGGGACCCCTTTCAAACTTAGGGGCCTGATGGCTGGCCGGCGGGCGCCGAGTCGCCCGGCAGAGGGCGTGGTTGAGCGCCCCCGCCCGTGGGGGTCGAGGGCCTGGCAGAGCCCCGAGAGGAGACGCCGTTCGCACTCAGGCACAAAACGGCATGATGATTGCCCTGGCAATACAGACAGAGCCGCCGATGCGGACAGTCTCGCTGGAGGTGTCCTCCCAAACATGAGCAGCACCAGCGGCGCTCCTTGGCGATAGTTCGCCTCGCTGGAACCGGCTTACCTAATAATTTCGGGCACGACGCTACCCGATGATCAGATGCTCGACAATAGGAGCAGGGGGGGGGGGGGGGTTGACGACGACTTGCCTGGAGGATTCAGCCTCTCACTGGGCACGGCTCGTAAGTCGTCAACGGTGCCCGCCGCGCTCTCTATCTGCCGGCACTGCTCCTCCAAAAACCGCAGCAGGTCATAGAAGGGCGGAATATAGGAGGCCTCGTCCCCGCCGTACCTCTCCTCAAAATGGATTCGAAGGTCGAGAGATAGACGGGACAGGACGATGCGGAGCAACAAAAAAGCCCATTCGCCCACTGGTAAACCCAGCCGCCTCAACGTATTACAGGCCACCAAGACTGGATCCAACAGGTCCGGACGCAGTCTGGCCCGGTCACTAAGCAGCGGGAGGCTTAGAAGCTGCTTAACATGTTCGTCCGCAATTCGCCGGACGTTGGCGTATCTTCTGGCTAGGAGGTCCCGAGCAGTCTGGTAGGCGTCGTCCGACAATCTCAAGTGGCAGACGACGCCCAGGGCCTCCCCCTCCAGTGAAGCCAGGAGGTACACCATCTTTTGGCTCGGGGTCAAGTCACTCCGGGCGTCCACTAGGCTGTCGAAAAGACCAACGAAGGTCAGCCATTCGGAAAGGACCCCGGAGAACTTTGGCAGGTCCAGAGTTGGGAGTCGTCCCAACAGCTCCGGCTGAAGCTGCTTCAGAGAGGACTCGGACAGGTCACTCATCCGAGCTTCACGCGCCTCCTCGGCATACCTGCCTTCAGCCTCGATCAACTCGTCCGTGAGCCACAAGAACTGCTCATAGTCCGTGAAGCAGGAGTCCAGGACTCCCTTCTCCACATCCGAATCCTCGAGCTCAGCATATGCCTCCTCCACTGCGGCCCTTCGAGCATCCACCTGCTCGAACTGCTTCATCAAGTTATGGACCCTATCCGGTCGACCTATCAAAGCATGGGCGCTTGTGGCCCAGCGTAGCTCAGTCCGCAAACAACGGATCAGTAGCTTGGGCGATGTCATCACTATTAAATGCAAATTACGACGCGGCTTGAGCACGGATTACAAAGATAACAAACAAAAAATACAACAAAAATTAACAGTTAATAAATGCAGTTCCTATCAAATCGCGTTGAATAGAAATTACACAAATACGAATTACTACGTATCAACCAAATACAAGTTAGCACAAAAGAAAAGACACAAATCAAATTAACAAATAACAAATACTAGTGCGATCAAATCAAGT